CCCCACCCCCCGCCCTGGCCTGCTGCAAAGTGTTGTGTCCTTACACAAGGAATGAGTGCTACTGCCCCTTCCAGCCCTGGACCCACCAGGCCCTGAGCTGGGAGCGCCTTTGCTCTAGAACTTGCTGTTTCATGTGGAGTTCCAGCAAAAAGCCTCTGGAATCCCTGAGAGCTGGGTCTAGTAGGAACGGGTCAGCCTTCCTGGGGGAATGGAGGGATTAGAAGCAGGAAGGAAGGTGTAGACGTGAGCCTCCTAGGAGGGATCTGCATCGACACAGGGAGGCAGTGAGGACACCTCCCCAGGGGGAGCAATAGGACAAAGTGATGAAGGTGATTTGAAGAAATGAGACCCTCAGCCCTCTGGAACACTTGCCAAATGTGAATGTTAAGGACTTAAGATTTGCAAAATGATGGTCCTTTATACAACAGTCACTCTGCAGGTGGCTGAAGTGATGGAACTCTGGAAAGAAAAGTACAGGCAGCTGGGAAAGGGCACTTCAAGCCCCAAAACAGCTGCCCAGTGAGACCTACAAAATTTTAAGAAGTTCCCTGTCTTAAATAAGACTTTTACCTCCTCCTATAGGAAGTCTTCCTAGATTGTGTTCAGTTCTGATGCCTCCCTCCTCCTTGATTGTGCCTTTCCAATGCCTCCGTATCTAGCTTATCTACCACATGAGACAGAAAGAGTTCTTGGAGAGCTCCCCATGCAGCCAGGACTGTGGCCTCCACATGCAGCCAGTGTCCATGGCCTTGGGAGAGCAGGTGTGTGTTGCTGAGTGACAGGGCTCTCACTCCTGGGACCTCTGGAGCAGCACCAAGATTCTCAGGCAGCCATTGAGAAAGTGCTACCTGAAGACCCTGAGCTCTCTAACTAAAGGTGAGAAGGTTCAGGGGGCAGCAGCCCCAGCAGCCCCTGCCCACCTCCCACCTGTGGAAGGAGAGGAGGGAAACAAGAGCCAGGGCCCGGGCAACAGGGAGGCCAGGGCCAGCCTGGGCATGCTGGGGAGCCAAACAGCATCTCTTTCAGCTGGCTGCTCTGCACTCTGCATGTGAAGGAACCTGCCCAGGATACCTTTCCCGCACCCGCCCATCCATGTCTTTCCTCCAGGGCCCACAAAGATGGGAGGTGCAGTACCTGGAGTTTCCAGCAGAGGGCAGGATGTACATAAAATAGAGGCATCCCTCAGGATTTGTCCTCACTGTGATGAACAGCAACTGGTGTCTAGATGGAAATGTGCTTCAGTGATCCTGGCCCCCACTTAGCACAGCTTCACTGGACCTCTGGGCAAGTCCTGCTGCTAATCCACACATCTCAGGCATGAGCCAGTACATAGCCAGCAAACACAAAGAGAAAGCCCTGCTAATACACATTAATAACTGGGGCTGGGGATGTGGTTCAGCGGTGGAGAGCTTGCCTAGCATGTTTAGGGCCCTGGGTTCAATTCCCAGTAACAAAAATAAGTAATAATAATAACAACAACAAATATAGCCATGCACTATGTAACATTTTTGGTGAACAGCAGATAATATATACCGCAGTGGAATCAAAAGATTCCAATGGAGCTAAAAATTTCCTACCTCCTTGTAACTGATAGTGGTCATAGCATAAGGCATTGCTCAGGTGTTCATAATGATGCTGGTGTAAAGAACCTACTGCACTGCACTATTGCAGAACACACCTATTGCATACATATGTTGGTGTCCAGTGCAGAGTGCTTGATGATGGTCATAAACACTATGTTACTAGATTCTTTATCTGCTAACTATGCCTTCCATCATTTTTTTTAGAATGTGCCACTTGCACTTATTAAAAAACACTGGAACAGCATGCCACAGTCTCCTGACAGCCTCCTCATTTAGCTCATGCTTGCTGTACCTCTTATTGTGCCAAGAGACCACATTGAGTGACAGACCAAGTGACAGAATCTGACTTTGCATGACCACAAAATCAGCTAATGACACTCTTCTCCAGAAGTGTCCCCATCATTGTGTGAGGCACAACTGTAATCAAAATAGCAGTGGATATGTGCATATTGTATTCCGGGTACTAATTTTCTTCCATTATCTCTTTTCGAGTTCGCAGATGTCCTCTCTGGTGAGTTCTCTGACAGTAAATAGGTGTCCAAGCAGGGAGCCCAGACTCCAGAATTGGGCTGGGCTTCAGCTTCCTCCTCTGCCATTTCCTCACTGCATGATCCCAGGGAACGATAGCTAACCCTCTGAGAATTAGCCAAGTTGCCAAACAAGTACTTAGGTGGTGTGAGGGGAGTTCCTGGCATATAGAAAGCTCTCAACAAAGGCCAGCAGGATCCTGTTTTACAAGACCACCATCTTGCACCAGCTAGGAGAAGAATCCGACCTTGAAGTCATGTGTACAACTCTTCAGGCAAAATGCCAGACCCAGAGTCTTGTTGTCTGACAGACTGACCTTGTCTATTGTCCAAGAATCCAACTTAGCATCTGTCCAGGACAAAAGGGCCCCAGTTTGGTTGATAAATTATACATACTGCAGACACACAAATGGATATAAAACAGCAATTTATGAACATAGATATGTGTCTCATCATTTGCATGCCAAGATATCAAGACACCAAGCATACACTGATCTCTTGCTTCCCAGTGAAGGTGATGTTATGGTCTGGATATGAGGTGTCCCCCAAAAGCTCATGTGTGAGACCATGCAAGAAGGTTTAGAGGAGAAATGAGTGGGTTATGAGAGTCTTAAGTATATATTTTGTGAGTGGAGTCTCTCTCTGATTCCTGATCATCATATGAACTGCTTCCCTCTACCACACTCTACCACCATGATATTCTTCTGCCTCACCTTGAGTCCTGAGGAATAGAGCCAGATCTCTATGGACTGAGACCTGAAACTGTGATCCCCTAAATAAACTTTTCCTCCCATAACATTGTCCTTAGCTGTTTTTAGTCACAGCAGTGAAGAAGCTGACTAAAACACGTGGGCTACACCCAGCCACGCATTCCTGCAGCAAATGGACATTGGAGGATCCTGGAACTAGGGGACATGAGGACATGGATGAGGAGACAGAAATAGGGCTGCTGCCATGATCCCAGGTAAACAAGCACCAACTGTAACACAGGTTAGGGATGGTGCTGCCATGTGCAACTATCAGTCCAGACCCGGGTGCTCCCAGGGCTGTGAACACATCATTCAGCCCTTGGGGTCCCAGTTTTCTCACCTAGAGAATTGGGGGATGGAGGGAACTGTTGGATCAGAAACTTGAGTGTTGCTTCTCATTTCATGCTAAATGGCTTGATGGATTTCACCCAGAGGGACCAGGCATCACGTGAACATGGGAGGTGACATTTCAGCCTGGTCACAAAGGATAAGCAGCCTTCTGATAAGTGGACACCCATCATGGAGGAATCATTATTTGCAGAGGCCCACAGGTGGGAAACCCATGGCTTTTTAAGGAAAGGCTAGAATGTAAAGGTAGGGAAAGAGAAGGCATCGTGGGTACCCCAAATGCCACCCTCTAGTGAGGCTCCTCCTTGAAAGATGAGCTGTCCCTTAAGAACTTTCTTCAAGTCAACAGTGCTAACTGGCTCGAAGACAGACGATCTCACAGAAACACACGTTTCTAAAAAGACACCCTTGAGTCTCTCTGCTTCTTACTCTGCTTAACTTTTCTTCATAGCAGTTCACACACTTGACATCCTGTCACATGTCCCTTGGTTAGTTGTATCTTTTTCCAATCCCCACTAGACTGTGAGTTCTATGCCAATTTTGTTGATTCTAATGTCCCGAGTGCCTGAACCATGCCTGCACCACCAAGCAGTTGTTAAATGAGCCACTGTGGGACATCTACAGCAGATGCAGATGCATCCGTAGCGTCTAGACACACAGGCCTCACACTTGAGGGTGAAAAAGAACTTGCCTAGGGAAGGAAAGCAGGGCCACTGTGGGGGAACAGGACTGGGAGTGGGTGGGGGAGAGGAAGGAAAAAGAATGAAGACTACTCTGGCAACTCCAGGCAGCGAGTGTGGAGACTGCGGGGCCTTCAAACCCGGGTGACAAGCCACATCGAAGTTTCAACTTCTTTCTTTGGATTAGAGAAAGGGGAATGAAGGGAAGGGAGGGGGCTGGCAATAGGAAGGACAGTAGAATGAATCAGACATAACCTTTCTATGTTCATATATGATACATGAGCAGTGGAACTCTACATCATTCACAACCAGAAGAATGGGAAGTTGTACTCTATGTCTGTATAATATGTCAGAATACATTCTAGTGTCATGTATAACTAAAAAAGAACGAATTTTAAAAAGAATAACATAAATGAATTTTTTTAGAAAAGTTCCAACTTCTGACACAGTCTCAAAATGTCTTTCTGTAGCAGGTGCCATCACCTGTCTCACAGGGCCATTATGTAGACTAGGTGACACAGTGCCTAGGGACCACTGAACCTACTCAGTGTATTTCAACCATATACAGGTTCAGATATCGCCCAATACCTGCCTGGCTAAAACCAGAGAGCAAAGATCCACAGGAGGCCAGGGACTCAGAGGAAAGCAAGAATCAGACCAAGAAAAACTAGGGCGATGCAGAGGCCAACATCCCAGGTTACAGAGTCCACTTGGAAAACCAGCTGGCACTAGGGCTTTGGTAGGGTGTGTCCCCACCAACACCATGTTGAAATTTGATCCCCAATATGGTAGCAGCTGTGGGAGGTGGGGTCTTTGGAATGTGACTAGATCAAGAGAGCACCACCCTCATGAATGGATCAGTTCTCTCTAGAGCAGGCTGTTGTGAAGAAGCCTGGCATCTCCCCTCAGTCTCTCTCACCCAAGTGCTCCACCTGCACATGTCACTTCCCCTTTCCACTTGGCTGCCACAGAGACGCAGCGTGAGGCCCTCACCAGAAGCCAAACAGATGCTGGGGCCATTCTCTTGGCCCTCCAGAACCATAAGTCAAAACAAATCTCTGTGTTGTTTTTTTTTTTATATAAATTACCCAGACTCAGCCATTCTGTGATAGCAATAGAAAACAGACTTTATTGCAGGAGAAGCATGGAACAGACACAATCCCAGTCAGGGGACAGAGAGCTTCTTGGCAGTGACAGCCCAAGACAGCCACTTGAAAAGGGTTTGCACTTGAACCAGCCTCCTGGGTGTGTGCACTATCTCTGCAGTTAAGCAATGAAAAGCCACCAGGACAGAGGGAACTAGCCTCCCCACATCAGAGTATGGCCCCACTGAAGACAACAGGGGAGAAGATAGGACTGGGATTATGGTGACAGGCAAAGCATTTCCTGGGTTGGAAAGGGGACTCTGGGATGGACAGGGAGGAGGTGAATGGCTTCTGCAGCCTTCCGCACACAGCCACCACCTGCCCATCATCTGGAAGCCTTTTTGGATGCACAGCTACTGCTCGAGGTTTTGGCAAGGGGATCCTTGAGCTCGCCGCCACAGCTGCCTTTAGTCTTGACCTCCATAGCCACAGGTTTGTAGCTGTAACTGGTCGAGGTGCCAAAGCCCACATTGAAGCCAGCCCCTCCTGCGCCTGCATTGGTGCTGCTGATGACAGCTGTAAGGGCAGAGAGAAGACCCCAGCCCAGTTGGCCCTGTGCCCTGGACTACTCCTTCAGCATGCTCTCTCTCTTTTTCACTCTCTTTAGTTTACTAAGAGATTTTCATGAGCTCTGATATGTGGCTTCATTTTTCATGTACTCAGCCCCATATAATCAAGCTTTTTCTAGTGGTCTGCGAAAATTTATCAATACCAGAATTTCAGCTCTTAGCAGCCAGGACTCTTCTCAGGAACTTCCCCACAGACAGAACCAAATGATGACAGGCCCTTCACTGAGGGAGACCTTCTGATCGCTGCTGATGCCGAAGGAGGCTGCTGGCAGTATCCCTGCCTCTCCGAATGCAGCACCTCCCCACCTCTCCCTGGGGTTTAAGCATAGAGTGGGTTGTTTCAGCTGCTCTTTTTCATTATTCAGCTTTCAGGTCCCCCTTAACTCCTTTTCCTGAAATCTGGGACTTCTACATTGGCCTGACCTCAATAGGAAAAGAAGGTCGTCATTAAGCATTGTTCTTATAGCCAACAGTTGGATTAGACACTGTTGGGTATCACCGAATTTTTCGGTAGATTGCGCTTCTGTTTTTCATAATATTGTTATTCTCCATCCATCATTTCCCTGTGGTTACTAAAGCCAGTTCCCTGATTTCTGTCTTATATCATGGGATTAAAAGGCCAGATTTCTAGTAAGGTGATGAAGGGTGGTACTGAGATGTGCAGGTACTTACAGATGCTCACAGAATTTGGGTATTCACCAATCATCCTGCAAAGGGAGAATAAAACAGGTAAATCTCTCATAAACAATTGCCCCATCTGTGAATTAACCTCTTCTCTCAGAACATGCTCTCCAAGCCCATCCCATCCTCTTCCCATATCCCAGGGGGACCTGTCAAGAGGACTAAAGTGAACTCTGTTGTAGGGAGTCATTCTCCACCAGAGGCATCAGGATTATCTCTTCTGTGAGACAGCTTTGCCTCCAGTCCTCTATAGTTATGCCATTAGTCTTAGACAATTAAGAAAGAGCTCACATCCTTACTGGGCCCTAGGTTTCTCCAAAGTGACCTTGAACTTGAATGACCCTTGGAGGCCATCTTGTCCCTCCTCTCCAAGCCAGGTGAAGGACCATAAGATGTTCTGTTGTTCTAACACTGCTGACATTGATACTCCCTGCTCCATGACCTCTTTGGGACTTTTACAACTCAGTCCTTCTTGCTGTCTAACTTAAGCCTTCCGTACCACGTGGCAAGCCCATGTGCTGTAGGATTTATTCAGTTGGACCTTAACAGAACTAACCCGCTTGCCTTTGGGCTGCCTACTAAAGAAGAGAGAACACTGCCCCAGGCAGAAGGTATCTGCCCCTCACCTGCTCTCCTCGCCCTCCAGCAGCTTGCGGTAGGTGGCGATCTCCACGTCCAGGGCCAGCTTCATGCTCAGGAGCTCCTGGTGATCGCGCATCATCCGGGCCAGCTCCTCCTTGGCCTGCTGCAGGGCGCCCTCCAGCTCATCCAGCTTGGCCCGGGCATCCTTAAGGGCACAGTCACCCCTCTGCTCCGCGTCAGCGATGGCCGTCTCCAGACTGGAGCACTGGTGGCAAGCAGATTTAGCACTTTACGTCAGAGCCCAGTTCTGACATCTTGCTTGGACATCGCTCCCTCCTGTGGCCCTGACTGATAGCAAATGCTTTGAGATCCTCCAGGTTGATCACTAGAGGTGAATCCATCCTTCCCCTGGCTCACCCCAGTTGATGCCTCCGCATCTGAAGATGGAAGTACTGTTTTTAATGTGACAAACTCCTGCTGTTAGGTAAAATCAGGTGACCTGCCAGAGGACACTGCAGATGGGGCTGTGTGCCTGCATGCATGTAAAAGCCTCCGGGGACTTCTTGAGTCTTTTAGTATGGACATGTTCTGGTCACTCAGCTAATGTTTGGTGGGATCTAAGGATCAGGCTTCTTTGTGGAGTGTCCCCTTTCTGTGGAGGCAAGTTTACTTCATGTCCAGAAAAACAACAACTGAACCAGAGGAAAAATGGATTTCTAGAATGCCACCTTCTTCTGTTAGGCAACCCCCAGAATGCCATCTCCCATGGCATTTTGGGTGAGTAGCTCACAGCCTGAGGAGATGCCCAGGACCTAGTTGCCTAACCACAGAAAACCATGTCTCATCCTTGGAACTGTGAAGGTCTAGTGATTTGGGGGATGATAATAAATTCTGTCATTTGAATTCAAACTGTCCTTTGCTCTTTTTTGTTGACCAAGAACCCCAGAATGAACCCAGGGCACATCAAAAGCTTAGGTCTTATGAATGCAGTGTCTAAAATCTTGACATTCTTTGATACAAATGCTACATTTGTTACTCTGAGCTTCTTTGAGCAGGGCAGGAAAGACCCTTGACTGAAGGCCCTCAAAAGGAGACTTGATGAGGACCGAGTGTCACAAAGGATATCACATGTTTACTACAGAGACATCTTCCCTGACCCCCAGAACACAGTGACATTCTGATCTTAAAAAGTCACTTTCTGGTAATAAGTGCACCCAACTGTGAGCACACAACATTTTATCAGCTAGATACCATCATCAAATGCCAAGGGAGCTTCAACATCACAATTTTTTCTTGCATTTACATATATCTTGATTAAGCAAAGAACTTAAATAAGTTCTTACTTAATTCTAAGTTCTTATTTCTTCTTCCCAGCATTATGAGCCTACTACACAGAGAAGTAATAGTGTGTGTGTATATGTGTGTGTTCACACGTGTGCTCATACATGTGCACAGGCACAGGATGAGGGGTGAGGGATAAAGTGAAGGGCAAGGAAATGGGACAACTGGTCTCCACAGAACCACAGGTGAGGTGGCACAAGTGTGGTTGCAATCGTGCTATCCCAGAGATGGGGAACTGAGTGCAGTGCCCGCCACATGTAACCACCGTGAGGAAGACCCCCACCAGGGGCTTAGGCTGAGTCTAGGGTGGGAGGCTATTTCTTCCCCATTTTGTTCCAAAATCAACTGCAGATTCTCCTTCCTCCAACAAGAAATAGCCATGTCAAACCTTAAAAAGGCTTCCTTTTACCTACGGCATCAGGCCTAAACCCACTGCCTGACTTAGAAGGTGTCCAGAATCCGCCTACCCCTATCTCGTGGTCTCCTCTACTCCAGGCCACCTTGCTGCATTACCTGCCTTCTGCCCCAGGGAAGCAGCCCTCCTCCCTGCACATGCACCATGCACGTGCCTGCCTCCGTCTGTGGCTCCTGCTGGCTCCTTCGGTGGCACACCTCTCAGTCTTCCCTTTGCCTCCCATCCCGGTGCAATCCCAGCCCCTGCAGACAGCTTCCCTCGCGTCCCCACTCATCTCCAGCCCCTCTGGATTCCCATGGCATCTACAGTGCACGCTGCACTGTGTAGAAGGCGCTGCTGTCCCCACGCGCTCGATCCTCCCCTCCCTATGAGTTGTAAATACCTACGGAGCGGACCACGTCTTACCCTTTATTCATATTCTGTCTTGTCCAGATGGGTGCCCAATCAACCCCATTCACGGACTCATTTCATAGAACCCACCTGCTTCTTCACATTTCCTATTTCCGAGTGGATCCTCTGAACCAGCCGGTTGAGCTCCGAGATCTCTGTCTTGGTGAGCTTGAGGTCGTCCCCATGCTGGCCTGCTGCAACCTGCAGTTCCTGGATCTGAGGTTGGATGGCAAGAGAGAAGGAGCACAGGTCAGATAGAAGTCACCTGCTGAGGGGTGCTCGGCACAGGGACGGTGCCCCCAAGCATTCTCATTATTGAAGCAATATGAGCACAAGAGAAGGAGTTGGGGGGTAAGTGGGCAGGAAATAATGCTTTTCTTCTGGAGAGGAAGGGCCCTACCCTAATTCAATAGGATTCTTGGGTTCTCAAACATGAGAGCCTTGTAGAGTTTGAATTTTCTGTCCTCATTTTGCTTGAGTTGGAAAGAAGAAGAAAACCTGAGATATGTAGGTTATTCATAGACACGATATCAAAGTTCTATCAGGGTTGTGGCTGTCATGGCCTCAGAGTTCAGTCAAAGGCCAGGGCAGGGGAAGGGCTAAGCCCCATGTGCATTCCTAACACATGCCAAGACTGCGGGTGATCTCCCCGGGCCATGGAGAGGCATTTCCACACACATGCACGTACACATCAAATGCACACACAAGCACATACATACACACACATGCCACGTGTGCACATAAGCATGCACAATGCAGTCCCAGCTGTAGTTACTGGGCTTTGGCGCATCTGGCACCCAGCTCACCTTGCCCTGATACAGGGCCTCGGCCTCAGCCTTGCTCTTCTGGGTGGTCTCCTCATACTGGGCACGGACCTCATCAATGATGCTGTCCAGGTCCAGCTGCCGGTTATTATCCATGGACAGGACAACAGATGTGTCACTGATATGGGACTGCATCTGAGCAATCTCCTGGAGGACAGTGAGGGGAAGGGAGCCAGTTAGGGGGTCCCTGTGAGGGGACCACTTCTCCTGACCCTCCCTGGACACATGTCTTGCTATCCTCAATGTGGAGCTCTGCCTCAGTGTCACCGGTTGTCTGGCATGAGAGTGGGTCCTTGAGCTTCAGACCCCCGTGATGGGACCGCTCTCTACCATGCCCTCAGGACTCTCCCACCCCTCTCCCCTCTTCCTCAAAATCTAGCAAGGCCCCCCTTGCCCCACAGAATCAAGCCACTCTTCATGTGGCACTTGCAGGCCTCAAGGGAATGACTGCCACCTTTCCCCTCTCCAGGTTTCTGTTTCCTCCCACACCCCTGGAGCTTTGACAGCAGGCTTCTGGATCATCACTTCTTCTGCTCCTTCAGGCAGGAACATCGGGCCCTTCCCAGCACCCACTGAACTCTTTTCTCCAGGCTCTAGGATGGCCCAGGTGGGATTCACCCTGCTTTGCCTCTGCTCTCTCAAAGCTCCTCTGCATGTTGGTTTTCGTGCCTGGCCATGAACTCCTGGGGGACAGGGATCATTCCCTCTCCCTCAAAGCCTTGGTCATTGCTTAGCACCCAGTGAGGTCTTGGCAAATGTCAGCTGCACCAAGTTAAAGACTTCTTCCTCCCACCCCTTGGCCACAAATCCTTGGTCAAGGGCAGCATCCCATAACACAGAGGTCAGCAAAGTCCTTACCCCTTCGTAGAGATCCTTGAAGAATTTGATCTCCTCTGTCAAGGAGTCCACCTTGGCCTGGAGCTCTACCTTGTTCATGTAGGCAGCATCCACATCCTGATGTACATAAGACAGTCAGGCTGCCCTAGATGGGCAGCTGCCTTCCCTGCCCTGCCCTCCCTGCCACAAAAAGCCACAGCTCCCTGGTGCTCTCAACCTCCCTGACCTCATGTTTTGGAATGACCCAATTCCTGAAAGCAAAACAACTCAAGTGCAGTACAATAGCCACACTAGAAGTACAGCAGAATGTCTGGATTTAAGCTGGCACATGCTAGGAGCAGCCACATCCCAGGAAGGGACTTCGTGCAAGGAACTAGAGTTAGAATCCCAGTCACCCTTGCCCAAAGAACTGAGTGGCCCAGAGCGTCCCTTCCCTCATCTTGCGAACACCACTGGGCCAGGCGGTCAGGACCCCTCCAGGCATCTTCCAACCGTGCCTGGGCCCTCTCACCTTCTTTAGCATCACAAACTCATTCTCGGCAGCAGTTCGTCTGTTAATCTCCACCTCGTACCTGTTGAGATAATGCAGCTGTGAAAACCCTCACCAAGCAGTCAGTGGTCCCCTCTATGCCACAAGTGGGGTGGAGACCAGGAACTCCTGGTGCACACATGACAGTTCCAAAGGGCATGGGGGCAAGGACAGGCTCAACGTCCATTTCCAGCTCCTCAGCTCATAGACAGTCTTCCCTAAAATGGTTCACCTGAGAAAGCACCAGTGGTGGAGAGTCCCCCAGATCTACCTTCCCACCTTCCTCTCAAAACTGGCCGCTTCTGTGTCACAGCAGAAAGGCACACACCTTCATATGCTGCTATGGCCCAGGGTGCCAACGTCTCCCAGGCACAGAACAAACACTGTATGTTGTATCTGTTTCTTAAACATTTTTTCCTCTTCCAGGTGAAGTGAGGTCTTAGAAACTGTTTGACTGGGACTGGGATGTTCTTCACACAGACATATTATAAATTGGGGAGGGCAGATTATGGATCATTGTATTTAAACAGACCACCTCTTCCATCCCTTGCTATTATCAAAGAATGTACTACAGGACATTTGTTAGAACAAGAACTTGAGCATTGGTAAAAAATAATAAAATAATAATACTAACAATAATAATGATAATGTAGAATGTCAGATATACATATAAGGAAGAATTCAGGCTTATAAAGAAAGTCTGCAATATGATATGATATGAATGAACTTTGAGGACATTATGCTAAGTGAAATAAGCAGTTACAAAAGGTGAATATATATCATTCCATTTATATGAGGTTCTTAAAGTAACAAATCATAGAGATGGGAAATAGTATGATGGTTGCCAGGGACTAGAAAGAGGAAATGCTTTCTGGAAATTTGGAAGATAAGTGACTTTATCAACTAGGAAAAACACCCTTTTTTGCAAGTCAGATGGTTTTCAATTTTTTAAAAAAAAAAAAGAGAGAAGGGAGGAAGAATAGGAAAGACGGTAGAATGAATTGGACATAACTTCTCTATGTTCGTATATGAATATATGACTAGTGTATGTCCACATCATTTACAATCACATTCATAATTAGAATAAGTTCTACTCCATGTATGTATGATATGTCAAAATATACTCTATCGTCATGGATATGTAAAGAGAAAAAAATAACTGTGAAGGACTACAAAAAAAAGAAAGAAAGAAAGAAAAGCCTACATTGTCAGCTGTGGATCATTTAAAATGATTTATAATGATGAGTCATTAATGTGGTTTTAACATGTGATCATTCACCTAAGAATTATATGTTTAACGTGGGGTATTTTGCAGGAAGTTGGGATCAGTGAGCAAAACAAACTCCTTCCTTTAAGAAGCAGAGTAATACAAACAATAAATAAATAAATTATATAGAATACTGGAAAATGATAAGTGCTATGAAAGAAAGAAAAAACAAAAAAAACTGGGAACAGATCCAGAAAACTGAATAACACTACTCTCACAAAACTCTTTACAATCTATTTGTATGAATAGTTTTCCAGAACTTGCAGAGGAATGAAGATAATATTAGACTAGAATCCTATAATTCTAACAAGAATCAACATCCTCCATGGATAACTAAGCCAATGAAAGAAAATCAGCCCTGTTCAACTCATTAAGAAATCTGTTTCCGCTGGGGAATGATATTGGCCAAATTATATTATATTGTGTGCACGTATGAATAAGTAACAACAAGTCCCACCACTATAATAATTATCATGCACCAATAAAAATACAGAAAAAATAAAAATAAATTTTTAAAATAAAAATTTAAAACTTTCTTTTTGAAAACTATTTTTATGTCTTATACTTATTTAACAAAATTAACAACACATTTTGTTATTTGAATAACTCAACCCAGAATAAATCTTAAGCATTTAAAAACTCATGGTAATTAAGAAATAAACTTTCTAAAATTTCAAGTTACAGGTGTATTTCATGAGCAAGGTCAATAAAAGACATAAAGGTATAAAAATATATTACATTGTAATCAAATGATATGGGGAAAGTGGCTTGAAATTTTCAGTTCCAATGGGACAAGGGTCAGGTTGAGTTTATAATTTTTAAAGCAAAACTTTTTATTAACTTTTTGATGAAAGACGGTGGGTGTTAAACTGCAGTGGCACCTAGATGCAAGTGAATATATTTAAATGATGATGTAGCCAATATTATTCTAAATGGCAATATACATAATATGCTTGAAATGACAGCCTTTACAACTACTTAAATTCATAAGAATTTTTAGGAGTCAAATTTTTAAAATAAATTGTGAGAATGTTTTTAAATGGTGAGTTTTTAAAAATTATTTTAGGGAATCTATGAGGAAAAACCTCATGGTATAGAATGATGCTAAAGACACACACTATCTTTTAGAAACTCATAGTTTAATGGGAAGGTAAATGCACTAAAGCTGTTAATTCAAGGATGTTTTATGATTAGGAGCTTCTATGCAATGTCATAACAGGTACAACATAAAAAAGACCCACAGACAGAAGAGATTAGTGATAAAATTAAATTTAAAATAATCATAATAAATGCAAGTAATATTTATTTAACTACCTTTCTTCATGCTAAACATCATGCTAAGCTTTTCAGTATTTCTTTTAATTCCCACAACAGTTCTATGAGGTCAGTTCTATCTCAAGTTTACAAATGATGCTAAAGACATTAAGAGACTTGGCCAAGGTTATACTGGTAGTTTATAGTGAAGTTAGGACTCAAATCTAGGACTTTGACATCAGGGAAACAATGTCTTACACATGTGTTGTACTTTAATTTTTTTAAGAGCTGTGAAGACATAACTATCAGGCATTATCTTCTCAACAGCTTTTTTTAGGTATTAAGGCAGGTATCAGCATTTGATTTTGGGTTGGGGGTGCTGGGGATTAAACCCAGGGTTACTCTGCCACTGAACTACATCCCAAGTCCAAGTCCCCCTCTTTTGGGTGGAGGTGAGGGGAGAGAGTCCCACTAACTTACCCAGAACTTGGGACCCTCCTAGGTAAGTGTCTGGGATTACATTTGCACACCAACCCACCAGGCTCATGTTTGATTTTTATAAATTTTATTAACTAAATTCACAGTGCATCAGGAGGCTCACCTATGCTGCTCAATGAGTTAATGGCAATTCTGCAACTCCAGACCTTTAACCTCTAAAAGGTATAGTCCCTGGAGGCCTCTGCCAGGGACTTCCAGCCTGCAGCCTCCTCTTTCTTCCATACCTTGCTCAAACACCACTTGGAGTCCAATTTACATCTTAATTCCACTTGAACTCAGTCCACACTGTATTCATTTCTGTTATCTGAAAGTATTCTGCAAGTTTGCCCCTACAATCTATGTGCTCTCTGTGGTCAGGGACTATGTCACCTCCCTTGGGGTCTCTATGCAGGCTCGGGCCAGGGTTCCTTTTCAGGATACAGTTGGACAGGCATTGAATGGGGAGCAAGAGAATGAATTCAGTTCTGATCATCTCCACTCCCTGGAAGTGCAGACGAGGTCACCTGTGCCTAGAAATGCTGACAACTGGAAGCAAACTTCCAAACTGTCAGGTCACAGTGAACCTCTCATTATTGGCTCAACTCAGAGGGAGACACAATATGGGCTTCCAAACACATTTTCACTTATTCTCCTGAAAGGTGAGGTTCAAAGGCACACATGCTTCAACATGAAGTAAGTCTTCATTTTTGCTTAGATTTGAAATTTGTTCTGGGATTGGCAGAGCATCTCACTTTCTGAGAACTACCATGGAAAGTGTCAGTCAGGAGAAACTACAAAGCCCCTTGAGTTGTCCATCTGATTGAGCCCATTCTCTTTCCCCATTCCTCTATTTCCAATGCTAGAAACTGAACACACATTTCCTGTAATTCAGAGCACCTTTCTGGATAGATCCATTGTTTTCCTAAGTCTCATTCTGTTTAAATGACTCCCCCTCCTCTGTGGGAAAGAAAACAGCAATGCTCTCAGCAAAGGAACTAAGAAGGCAAAAAGAGATTGGCTTGAGATGGAAACCTCATCTGTAGTCAGACTCTGCAGTGGGCTCTGCTCTGCCTCCCACTCACCTCTTCTTGTAGTCCTCCACCACATCACGCATGCTCCTCAGCTCCGAGTCTAGCCTCACCCTGTCTCCAGAAAGTGTCTCCAGCTGCTTCCGCAGGGTACTGATGCGGGCTTCATAAATGGACTCCAGGCTTTTCCTGCTGTTGTTCAGGTCCAGCTGCTGCAGCAGGTTCCACTTGGTCTCCAGCACCTGGTTCTGCTGCTCCAGGAACCGCACCTGGAACACAAAAGTGGTCAAGGCCCAGAGGCTGCATGTTGTTGCCTCTTGAGAGGGAAACAGGAAGGCTCATCAGAGGCGGAGCCAACCAAGCAGACATGCTCCTCTGGGTCTCTAAGACAAGAAGCAAGATCCAGTTGAAAATAAATCAGGAGGCAGACTTGAGCAACGGTGCCATCTGGCTCTGCCTCGGTGAGTTTTCATGTGACTGAGAGTTTCTCCTGCTATACATGCTGGGAAGCGGGGAGAGGGGAGAATTGAACTGAGAAGCAACTGGAATATCTCACTAGTGGTTTGGATGCTCTTCCTCCCATGGAGACTAAATTGCTCTTGTTTCTTACTGTTCAAAGTGGGTTCTCACATCTTTACAGGGGTTCCTTCAACTTTAGTCCCTCTGCTGCTCACCCACATCCTTCTTGTCACCTATGTCTAAACTTGGGGGACAGGAGAAAACATGCTCAGGAACAACACACTTAGAAAGAGGAAGCAGATGGCCCCTGTCTTCCAAAATAGTAGCTGTGTTTCTTTAACTCATGGCCTTTCCCCTCCAGCCACCTCACTCCTCCTTAGCAGAGCGAGAAAGAGGTCCACCCTCGGCTGTTTATCAACTTGGGCCCATTTCTTATGTCTTAGTTTCCTCATCTGCAAGGCAGAACAATAACAGAATTCTAGGTTGTGCATTGACAAACAAGTCCCTTGGGACAGTACCAGTTGCTGTCCATCATGCTGAGTGATGTCTCCAATGATGTGAGCTATTGTCATTATAATTAACGTTCCTATGTCACACTCATGGTCTAGACCTGCTACCCCAGTAGAGACAAGAGAAGCCCATTCCTGTCTCCTCCCATTCACTGGGGTCACTGCCACTGAACCGGCAGAGTCACCTTCCTTGTTACATTTTGGAGAACAATCCCTCCCCAAACATAGAACCTGACATGCCCTCTTTCCAAATGTCCCCTCAGCCTGATGCTAGTTTTCTCTTTTCTCTCGCCTCCTCTTCAATCCCCTCTTGCCTTTTAATTTCTCTCCATTCACCAAACCCTGTGACATCCTCTAACTCCCTTGTGCTGAGTGTGTGTCCCCATTTCCTTGAGTGAAACTGGGAGCCATCAAAGGATCCATTCTACAAGTCTCCTGCCTCTGAGCATGCCGTCTTTCCCAGAGTCTTGTCCCATACAAGGAAGGAACAGGCTCCCCTGTATTGGGAGTTTGTGCCAGTCACTGTAAACATCCCAGCTGATCATTAAACTCACTGGGGTAGGATCCTTTACTGTGACATTTTACAAAAAGGAAAGGTAGGCTCAGAAAGGGATTAGTTCACCCTGGTTCACATGCAGCTCATCCTCAGGAGAATGGGTACAGAACTGGGGGGAGGCGGGAAATAGGGGTAATGCAGGGACAGGCACATGTTCCAGTACCCACCTTGTCGATGAAAGAAGCAAACTTGTTGTTCAGCACCTTGATCTGCTCCTTCTCCTGGGCGCGCACCTTCTGGATCTCGGGGTCTAGCTCCACACTGAGGGGGGCCAGGAGGCTCTTGTTGACAATGACCTGGGGGATGCCACCAGGAGGGCACACGGACGGACACGTGGGCCCCAGCCCTGCGCTGCCAAACACTGTGCCCACGAAGCCGCCTGGGCGGCCGCCGCCCACACCCCGGTGGCCCAGGGCATAGCCGCCACCCCGCGCTGCTGCACTGAGCGCCAAGCGCCGGCCGCCCCCCACGCAGAAGAGGCTCTTGCTACCGAAGGTGGCAGCGCTCTTGACTCCGGCCCTAAAGGAGGCAGGACTGCTGCTGAACCTGCCAGAGATGACAGCCGAGCAGCCGCTGAAGCCCAGGCGCTCCCCGCTGGGGTAAAGGGTCAATTGGCGGCTCATGCTGGTGAGGACGGGTCGCTGGGCGGTGCAGGGCAGGGCGGCAGGCCAGGTGCAGACAACAGCTGCTCTCTCTACACAGCTGGCCCCTTAAATAGCCCAGTGAGGCCGGCAGCCTGGAGTCACCCTAATTTGTATGTTGGGAACACTTTTTAGGTGACTTGGGGCCCCCTGGGTTCTTCATTTAGGAAATGAGCATCCTTTCCCCAAGATTTTTGTCTCTTCCCCCTGAACTCTCCGTGAATCCCCTATAAAAATGACCAGAACCCTGTATTTTCTTTGCTTACCTCCTGCATTATAATAATTTAGCTACCTTATCTCCACTTGCTGTCCTCCAATTACTGGGGTCATCACTGCCAAGATCTTCAGTGGAAGATTCCAGTGGGTCTGGCCTGTGGGTGTGGTACATGCAACAGATGTCCAGGCTGGTTCCTCATCAGAAGGACATGTGCAGGATCAAGAATATTTCGGAGGGGCTGGAGTTGTGGCTCAGTGGTAGAGCACTTACCTAGCATGTTCAATTCTCAGCATCACACATAAATAAATGAATAAAATGAAGGTCTATCAACATCTAAAAATATATTTGAAAAACAAAAGAATATTCCAGAGAATCATCCTAAACCCATTCCTCCCTCTACCCCCATTCCTGGAGGATGAGAGCTCCTTCTGAGTACCAAGGAGAATATTAAGAGAGAGGAGACAGGCCCTTCTGCAGGGACCTCACTGTGACTGACTTCAAGCCACTGAAAACTGTTCAACTGGCTGGGGGTGATTTGGGGCAAGAGCTAGAAGATTTATCCAGAAAAGCATTTCCAAATTAAGAATAGGGGAGATACTTTCCAGGAAAGAGGAAAGATGGGGAGATGGCAGGGAATACTTTAGGCATTTAGAAAATGTTCTTTCTGGGCTGGGGTTGTAGCTGAGTGCTTGCCTAGCATGTGTGAGGGTTCTATCCCTAGCACCACATAAAACTACATAAATAAAATAAAGATACTTTGTCTATCTACAACTAAAAATTAAAGAAAGAAAGAAAGAAAGAAAGAAAGAAAGAAAGAAAGAAAGAAAGAAAGAAAGAAAGAAAGAAAGAAGAAAGATGGATGCTCTTTCCTGAGTTTTTTTGTTTGGTTTAAGAGAAAAAGAAGCTCATTCATCTGATCCCAGAAACCTCTGATCAGGGCATTTCTGATCAGGCATCTCAGAGTCCCCATCAAACTGGGACTGAATAATAGGAAGGGCTGGAAAAGACTCCTCAGATCTGAAATCCAGAACCAGATTCTAGAAGTTCATTCCATACAAACTACAGAGCATCTTTCTCTAGTCTAATCCAACTTCCTTTTCTCCAACTTGAATTGCCTTGGAGTTCTCTCTTCTCTGAGAAACAGTCTCCTGTTCTCAGAGTTGGTCCCCAGTTGGAATTGTGTTTTATTAGTCTCAGTGCTCAGTCTGTCTGAGCCCTGGGCATGAGTTTTGCTTCATCAAAGAGACAAGGCCCATAGATTGACCCTTTCATCCCCCACTGCCCCAGTGCTGAACCAGGGCCTGGGCACCAGGGACATTCAGGATGATTGTGAAACGGACTGCTTGGAACAGAGCTCATTGCTGTACCTTAGTTATGCCCTAGAGCTTCCCTTCGGCCCTCATGGGGTAGCCAGATGATACCTGGGTGTACTGACTGGCATGGCCTCCACTGAGCCAATCACAGCGCATAATAACAGCCAAGCTGTTTGCCCCTTGGAGAACAAAGTGGCAGGGCATCCTTGGAGATGGACATAGATTGACAGATAGAAGAATCTGTGGTGTCCCCAGTGGGGAAGAGGGTGGGCTCTCTGTACTCTCTGTAGTCCCTTCCCTGTGGAGAGGGGAGACCTGTGGGACCAACAGGCCCTTTAATAAAGAAACTCCAGGTTGTGCTTTTCATTATCTCATGGGCTTTTCCTTATACCCCATAACTTTAGCCAGTTTTTTTACTCATCGTCACAAGAAAGAGTTTAATTCCAGCCATTGAAACAGAAAAGCAAGAAAAGGATTTGAACTGGAGAATCCTTACATAGCATTGTCTTACGAAGGGAATCTTTGAAGTAACTTTTTTTCTGGAAAGTTTCTAAGAAGTTGAGACACCCATCCCTCTGGGACCAGGGCTCTTCTGCCCAACAATAAAGAACAGGTAAAATGAGGTTTTCTTATCTTCCCATTAGTGCTTCATTGGCTAGATGAATCAGGAGCTCCTCAACCCCTGAGATCACCTTTATTACAGATTATAAAGAGACAGAAGTGACACACTCAGGGCAGATCAAAGGTGGCTGAGCCATGGAACCTAGCTCTGATAGCAGCTTACTGTGTCACCTCAGGCCCTGGTAACCACCTCTGTCTTTAGTTCTTTTATTACAGCAACCCCAGGATTGGAGTCTAATCCCAGAACATCACCCTTTGAAACCAGCATGCCATAACAAAGATGGATGAAGCCACTCTAAGCAGAGACTTGTAAATGTGATGGTTAAACTGGGTCTCTCTTGTCCTGGAACACTCATGTGAGGGAAAGTAATAGATATTGGGGGATGGGAGTGTGAGGGCACATTCTGTGCTGGATTAAAAAAATATTAACCAGGTGTCTCATTACAGAACTTTCTAGAACCATTAATATGCTGACTACTGGAAGATTTTTAGGGCAGTAGAACTACTCTATATGATACTCTAATAGTGGATACTGTCTTTATGCATTTGTCCAAGCCCATGAGCCCCAACATAAACCATGGATTCTAAGTGAGAGAATGTAGGTTCATCAGCTGTAACAAATGAACCACTCTGGTGGAGATGCTGATAATGGGAGAGGCTCTGCTCATGTGAGAGCAGAGCTACATGGGAAATCTCTCCACCTGCCACTCAGTTTTACTATGAACCTGTAACTGCTCTAACATTTTAAATCTATATATACATATACAAATGTATGGATGGATAGTACTAAACTATGTTAACAAGAAAAATAGTACTTAGTGCTTTCTGCTGTACCAAAGGGTTATACAAAACTCAATCTTTTCCACATGTGTTGACTGAGAAGTAGGATTGTGAATAATTTCCTTTTTCAATATTTCTGATTTGTACAACCTGAGCATATAGTGTTTTGTTTTTTTTTTTACAAATGAGCTATTTAAAAACAAAACTAAAGGGTAAGGAGAAAGAAAACTGATTCTTATATATTTATTTTTTAGTTGTAGTTGAGCACATACCTTTATTTCACTTATTTATTTTTATGTGGTGCTGAGGATTGAACCCAGGGTCTCGCATGTGCAAGGCAAACACTCGGCTGCTGAGCCACAACTCCAGCCCCATAAAGTACTCTTTTTATTTAAAAAAAAAAAAAAAAAACCAAAAAACTCCTCATTGTTTTCAAAACCTATTTTTATGCCATAGAGCTCTTTTTGGCCAAATATCTTAGTGGAACTAGGTTTTTAAGGAATATACTTTAAGAAACACTGAACAAGGTAACACCATTTCACCACTAAATAGGCTTAAATTCCTTGAATCAAAACAGACTTGAACTTTAGGGGTCTTGTTAAGGAAGTCAGTTCCTGAGCCAACATGTTGGGGTGTTGGGCCTACATTTTCTTTTGTTAGGTACAGGGTCTCTGGTCTAATTGCTAGGTCTTGATCCACTTTGACTTGAGCTTTGTGCAGGGTGAGAGATAGAATTTCATTCTACTGCATATGGATTTCCAATTTTCCCAGCATCGTTTGTTGAACAGGCTATCTTTTCTCCAATGTATGTTTTTGGTGCTTTTGTCCAATATGAGTAGGTTTGTCTCTGTGTCTTCTATTGTGTTCCATTGGTCTTCATGTCTATTTTGGTGCCAATACGATGCTGTTTTTGTTCCTTTAGCTCTGTAGTATAATTTAAGATCTGGTATTGTGATTCCTCCTTCTGTCTCTAATGGGAATTTCATTGGATCTATATAGAACTTTTGACAGAATGGCCATTTTGACAATATTTATCCTGCCTACTCAAGAATATGGGAAGGAGACCACCTCCACCAACCTGTGTGGGAGCCCAGGCCCAGGGTAGACCCAGGTCCACCCCTCTGTCCTGCAGACCTATACTGGATCCAGGCCTAGGCCTAGGACTACCTCTGCCATCCATGCAGGAGCCCAGGCCCAGGGTAGGCCTGGGTCCGCAAGGTCCACGCCCTCACCCATGCCCACCTGGGAGCCCAGGCCTAACCCACCTCCATCTTGGGACACTGCAGCCATCGCCATAGCCCTCCCCATGCTGTAGCCTCCACCTTTCGACAACAGACAGGGCCTAGAGGCAGCTGCATCTCGGAACAGACATCCCAAAGCCAGTGTAAGTCTCATCATTTCAGCCCCATCTCTGAAAGAGGTTGCATCAATGTCTTGGGACATCCCCGCTGCTATCTCAAGTTACCTCTGCTAGTGCCACCACCACCTATATGTAGTTGCAGTAGCTTCCATCTCGTGATCCACAGGATCTGGAAGCCCAACACCAAAGTGAGGTACAGATAATCTGCATGGGTACTACAAAATTATAGGGCAGAAACTGTAATACCTCAGATCTGCACTGCAAGAAAGGAAGACACATAGACAACATGAAAAAAAAAAGGAAAAAAATGCCCCAAACAAACCAGGATACTACAATAATAGAATCCATGGACAGCGCAAGTGATGAAATCTCAGAGAAGGAGTTCAGAATGTACATATTAAAATGATCTGTGAATTAAAGAATGACCTAAATGAGCAAATACAGGCAACCATTAATCATACCAACAAAGAGATAAGGGAGCAAATACAGGTAGCAAAAGATTACTTCAAGAAAGGTTTAGAGATTTGGGAAAAAAAATCCAAAATCCTTGAAATGAAGGAAACAATAAACCAAACAAAAAACTCAATAGAAAGCATAACCAACCGACTAGATCATTTGGAAGACAGAACATCAGATAATGAAGACAAAGTGTACAATCTGGAAAATAAAGTTGACCACACTGTGAAGATGGGATAGCATCAAAAGACAAAATCTAAGAGTTATTGGGATAGAATAAGGCCCAGAGATTCAAACCAAAGG